CGTAAAAATAAGATTTTCTCTAATCATTGGAACATATAGCACCTCGTTCAAGGCTAAAGTCTTACCTAAAGTGAGCTTCGGTTGGACTTTTTCCTTCCCTAAAACCTTTACAGTATGAAAGTCTCCAATGTAGACCACTTCTTCTTCATCCCCTATGGGAGTGTAGGAGGAGAATATACTTTTGTTTGCGTAAATATGTCCCTAGAGTCTACTACACAATCTCCGATATTTGACACAAAATTGACTTAAGAAATTACGACGACGAATTATGTCATCTCCCTTGTAAGATTTGCCTTGGGAGGATTCTCATTTCTCACTCTCCTCCCGCATTGAGATGCATGATGGCTAGGGTTCCCATGAACAAAGCAACTACTTTTCTTTTTAAAGATGGGGTTAGTAACTTTAGGCTTATAGTCAAGTTTTTTATGAGCGTACCACTTGCTTTGAGACTTAACTTCTAGCACGTTTACCTTTGAATCCAATTCTTTAGCCTTGGAATTACGAACCTCTTTTCCATTGGTATCTTCAATTATTATATGAGTGATTAAGTCGGTAAGAGATAATTTTTTTTTGCTTATGCTTTAGTTGGTTCTTGTAGTCACTTCAAGAGTTTAGCAGACTTTTCAATCAAGCAACCCAACCCTAAACTCTTATGGTAAGGTGATGTTTTCTACCTCTAGGTCTTCGAATAGTTTATGATACTCATTGATTTAAGCCTTGATGTCTTTGTCATTTGTCCACTCCTATTTGTAAAAGTTTTCAATTATAAATTTCGTTTGCTAGCATTTTTGGTATTGTACTTGGTAACTATGGACTCGAAATTATTTTTACCTCTTTATAAGTGTAGTAAACATCTAACGAGTCATTAGATAATGTATCGATTATAGTATGCCTACATACCTTGTTGGCATGAACCCGAGCTTCTACATTTAAATCATTTTTTAGGTCGGATATAGCATGCATGTTGAGGATGGAGTAAATGCATTCCTACCATCTCTTGAAGTTTTAACCACCAAAGACTTCTATTTTGAAGATGATAGGAAATGGTTTGGCAAATGACATTGCTAGAATTAAAGGTATAGCTGTTACAAAGACTCCATCATGGGTTGCAATAGGCTCTGTTGTAGTTCTAGGCGAGTAAAACTTCTACCACTAGTAGCGAGTTGCGTCAACGGAACCAATGTTGGTGGCAATAATAGAATTCATTGCAGGAACTAATATCCTTAAGATTGTTGGATAAAAATAAAAAGGTAGAGAAAGGATAGTCAATGGTTAGAGTCATGTAATCACTATACTTAAAGATATTATTTCATATCTTTTAGGATAAAACCAATCCTTCCGGAATTAAAACTAAGAGGAGAAACAAAAAAAATAATGAGAACCCAAGTAAAGAAATATGAATTAGAGAAAGATAAGGGATTTGTGTGTGTGTGTGTGTGTGTGCGCGCGCGCTCAATACCGGTAGTAGAGGTTGTATTTATAGGCTAATTTAGGCTGGTTTGGTGAGAAAAAGATAGGGATAATGGTGGAGCAAAATTAGAGAACACCACCAAAAATATGGATTGATAAACGATTGTAAAAGACCTATTCCATGGCAAAAAAAATGGGATTTATCTTTAAAAAAAGTCCGAGTTTAGGCCATAAAAGTTAAATAGGTGAGCAAAAAAAAAACCTTGGATTGGGCCTTGTTATTACGCGTAGAGGGAGGGGGCAAATGGGCCATTTTACCTTAATTTGGCTTGACTCATTTATGCGTGAGCCTAATCCATCTTGCTTATCTTTTACAAGCCCATAACACACTTCTCTTAATAAAGTATTATCTCATGCCTCTTCTTTAGCAATATGGGATAAAAGGTTTCGACAACCTTTTGAAATATTCACAACAATGGTTTTGGCTCCATTGGTAGGTCAAGTTAACGTACGGTCGTGTTATTGATAAAATTATAGATACTCTCCGAATTCATAAGACCAATATTCCCTACCATTAAAATTTATAAATACATGGTCCGTGAATTTCAAATCCCCGTTATGACATGAAGAGAAATTTCGGGATCCACCCACGATGACACCTCCACTTTCTCGTTAGATTCATTCACCATCAAACTAAAAAATGTGTTTACATTGATAACCAACGAAAGTAAGTCTCATCACAGTTGTAACATAGCCATTTTGCTCTTCTCTAAGTCATCACTCCCCTAGATAATTTTTAAGAAAAAGAGGTTGTAGAACAACCCATATAAGATATTACAAGTGCACTTGCTCCCTCTCGATTTTGGTTTATATGTTACGGATTTTGTATAAGTCAAACCTATCATTTTGGGAGGAAACCGGTTAGAAGGGAGTCGTCTCCCTCTAGTTCCTAAAATGAGTTACATCTTTTGGCCAAAAGCTCGAGCTAAATTCCTAGTTGTAACCAGATTAGAGGTTGTTGCATCTTTACATCCACCCGTAATGCCTCTGTAAATCCTAAGGTAAACAAATCAACTTGTTAATCAACCTTGACGAAGTAGCTCTAGCTATGAGTGTCTAGATTGAATCTAATACTCATTCACTATCCTCACTTGTTTGAGGTTAGACAATTCTTCTAGTGGATTGCTACTCAAAGGAGGTCTAAACTACATAAGATGGTTAGACTTTATTTGTTCCCAAGTGAGCTACAATTCTTTTTCGTCAACCTAAACTCACAACCGAGCCTCACCTACCATGTGAAATTTGCCAAACCCACCTTTTCCTCCTCCCCTATTCGTTGATTCAGGAAAAAATTTTCACACCAATATAGTCATTCCAATGGGTCCTCTATTCCATTAAAGAATGGAAAATCCAATTTGAAGTACCTAAGAACCACAATCATCCCTAAATGCCCTTCATGATAGGGTTTTGATACCCGATTGTTGTTGTTGGATCCAACCTCATAATATCCTTACCTTTACCCAAAGACCGTAATTCCAAGCATATGTTGAATGGCTTTCATATCATTCCTCAACTCCTGTAACTTTTAACCAATTAGCTAATTTGATTCTATCATCCGACAATCCAGATTATACACCCTAGCTGCTAGTTGTTCATAATCACCCATGATGAATGGCTCGACACTAACTTGTTATGTTCTCGAGATAAAGATCGCGTCATAGGTCGATGGATATGGATATCATTGCTTATTCCCATATTTCGGTTCTTGCCTTTCCTAGAGAGACCTATTGTGACAATAACAATAGAGGTTTATTGTTAAGACCTTCAAAACTCTCCTAAACCTTTTTGGCAAAATTATTTGATACCGTTATTCAATTAGCATCCTTTCTTTATATAGTAGAAGAGACTTAAAAGCAAATACAAACATAAAAGGTTATTGTCTAAACCGACTCATGAATACATAGAAAGTCTTAAATAAAATACCACATAACTAGGACTCTCGTATCCTTTTTTCTAATCTTACTTATTCTCATTAAATAATAAATAAAGAAGCAATAAATGGATATTCCCAACATCTTAGTTTTCCTCCTTATGCTACTTGTCTTCTTCTATACTGTCGTCAACAAATGCACAACATATTACGGTAGTTTTCCCAAGTTTTGGGTTGAATTTTATGCCTTTTTAAGATTAAATAATATGTTTTTTAAAGTTGAGAAAGGAAAAAAAAACACAAATATTATTCATTGATAGTTAGTAAGCCAAAATTCTTAGTTTCTTTACGAAGATGCAAAGTTGATCTCCACAAGCTTAAAATAGAGCAACAACTATTCAAAAAACACTATCCATAGCATTTTACTTAAGTTAATTATGAAGAGAAGATGGATTTCCATAAGGAGGCCGATAAAGGTGAAACTCAAACTTGTAGGTAATCGCAAAGCCATTGATGTTCTCAAAGGTACCTCTTATTATGGAATATTCATATCCGCTTGTTCACCTCTCTCTCTCTCTCTCTCTCTCTCTCCATCCATTTGTCAATGCATTGTCTTGGTGATGCGGATACTCGGCGCTCTACATCTACCTATGTTATTTTTCTTAGGTCTAATCCTATTAATTGAAGTTCCAAAAAGAAATCTACTATTACTCGCTCTTAAACTGAAGCCAAATATAGAGCAATTGTTGTTGCTATTGCTAAACCGAATTGGATCACTATTGTTCTACAAGACCTTGTTGTCTCTATTCCAACTTCCCTAATGATTTACGTGTGATAACATTGGAGCTACTTATTTGTGCTTTAATCCTGTTTTTCACTCATGAATGAAGCATGTTTCTTTTGACTTGCATTTCATGTGTGATCATGTTGGTCTTAAACTGCTTTGAATCTCTCATGTTCACACCAAGGATCAACTTGCTAATTCTCTAACTATGTTTCTAGCTCGAAAGCAGTTTCATCTTCATTAGTCCAAGCTTAGTGTCCTTCTCGGACCCTTACACTTGCAGGGGCATGATAGAGCATAAAATTAGGGCATTCAATACATAAGAGCTTAATTTTCTTGATTGTAATCTCGATTTAATTCTCTTTGATCTGATAATTTTAGTTTTTTATTGTATAGCCGTAATTATTGCGAGCAATATTCTCCTCAAATATGTATTTACTGTAATCACAACTGCTACAACTTTCATCCAATTCTGTAGGATTTATGTTATGTAAGCCTCAAAGATGATTCACCCCTTGTGCTGCTTCCGTTCTATAGTGAACCTATAGATAGCAATGTTCCAATATCCATGAAGACTAGTTAGTTATTACAGTAGCTTTCCCAAGTTTTTGGTTGAATTTTATGCCCTTTTAATGATTAAATGAATGGATTTTCGATAGTTGAGAGAGAGAGAGAGGGACAAAAAAACCACAAACATTATTCATTGATAACAGATAAAAGTACAAAAATGAAGGAAGCTCTGTTTCTTGATCTGCAAAGGATAGCAAGCAAGCTCAAATTCGTAGTTTCTTCATGAAGATGCAAAGCTGATCTCCGCAAGCTTAAAAGAGAGCAGAAACTATTCAGAAAACACTATCCATAGCATCTTACTTTAAGTTAATTATGAAGAGAAGATGGATTTGCATAAGGAGGCCAGTAAAGGTGAAACTCAAACTTGTAGGTAACAGCAAATCCGCTGATATTCACTGGAGTTGATGTCATATATCCTTGTACGAACGTGAAGTCACCAGTACCTCCCACAATAGGAAGATCAGATGGCTCGATGCTATGTGCGCTTCCAACAATGGAGATTGACCCCTTAAGACGCTTGTACTCCAAAGTGGTCTTACTAATAGCAATATTTCCAAGCCCATCAAGAGTAGATGTTATGGAAATTGCTTCTGAAATTCCAACAACTTTTGAAGATGGATTAGATGTAATGGTCAGATTGTCTTGGTAAGCAAACAAGGAGCCGAAAGGCGATGTGGTTGGAGTGATCCCTTGTCCTGTCACACCATTCACAATAAGATAAGCAGTTTTGTTTAAGGTTTCGTGTTGGTAGAGGGTAAAGCGCAGGGATTTGAGTCCATAAAAGTGGTAGTTGGAGGTGGAGATAGCCTTGAATGAAAGTGCAAAAAGTAAATTGATAAGAATGAAGAGTTTCACAGATTGAGCCATGGCCATGTCTGTTTCCATAACAATTAACAAGTATGAGGAAAATCAAATATAGGACTCTGGTAAACATCTTACAAAGACTTCCATTGACTGCAAAAACTCTTAATTGGTCCATTATCTTGACAATTCTGTCTCAAGAGCTGAATCAGTCAACCCAATTTACCATGGACTAAAATGAGTGACAGTTTGTTATCTAACAAAGACAGCTGAGTGTTCGACAAGTTAAGTCTAAAGTGGGTGAGACTTCATTTCTAACCGCAGATGCATGCCATTGTATCTGTAACTGTAATGACTCAAATTATAGAGCACACTTACGCTGTCAAAAGTAATCCTCATCCCTTTCTGTTGTTTTAAATATTTTTTGGACCCAAGTGTGAAGGACAAGCTGTCTTGTTCCGACAGGACCTCACTATTAAGTTGGATGCCAGCAACTACTTAGATTTGGAAGATGAATATGATCGACAAGTATGAACATCAATTCGAATTACCAACACAGTTGATGCAAAAAGGAATGATGATTTCAGTCTTCATACACTGATATATTTCAGCACAATCTTATGAATCGTAGTTGGAATATTTTCAGTCACCGCAAGTCAAGTTTAGTAGTTACTAGTTAGCGGTGTAGAAATTCTTATTACTACGACATGGATTGAATTAACTACCAGTATAAAGTTAAAAAGTCGCTCGGATTTTCTCTCGTCATAAAGCTTTTTTAGACAAAAAACCATTTATGAAATCGGAACACCATCTCAAATGTGAATGGAGCAAAAAAAATCCTGCAAGGCCTTAATTGAGAACCGTCCTGTCAAAAGAGTCAAAATGCAATATCTCCGTTGTACCTGAGACAGTTGAGTGCTATCTTCTGTCCTAAAGAAGAAAGCAGCTTCATAGATAAAATTTCATAATCTTCACATGAAGAGGAAAACTACAACATACATTTTCCTCTTTAATAAATACACCCTCTGTAAATTAGAGACATACATATTTTTCCGTAGTAGTTGGAGAAGGGAAATTTGAGTGATGAAGGGGAGAGGGGAGGCAGCTAAGAACCTCACACATTTATTCGAAGAGAGCTAAAACTTCCCAGCAACCATAACTGAAGAAAATTATCAATCGTGAACTGAAAATTGATTTGCATAGGGAGGCCAGTAAAGGTGAAACTCAACCTTGTAGGCAACTGCTAAGCCATCGGTGTCCACCAAGAATGTTGTCACGTAGCCTTGTACAAATAGAAAATCACCAGTGCCTCCCACAACAGGAATCTCAGATGGTTTTACGCTGTTTATACTCCCAACAACTGTTACTGACCCCTTGTGGTGCTTCAATCGTAAAGTGATCTTATAAACAGCAATGTTGTCTAACCCATCCATACTAGATGTTACAGTAACACCTTCTGTAGTGCCAACTACTTTTGAAGCTGAGTTGGATGTAACAGTTATAGGATCTTGTAGAGCATATAAAGTGCCAAAAGGCAATGCAGCTTGACTAAGTCCTGGTTTTTCCACACCATTCACTATGACATACCCAGTTTTGTTTGTGGTTTCATGTTGGTAGAGAACAAAGTGAAGGGATTTGAGTCCATGGCCGTGGGAGGCGGAGGCACCCGTAGCTGAAAGAGCAAAGAGTAAAGTAGAAAGAAGATAGAGGTGTAGAGATTGAACCATGGCCATATCTGTTGCTACGAGAATGCAAAAGATCAGGTTAATTAATAGGCCAATGATATATCTTGTGCGAAACGCATCTTCCATGACAGCAGATGCAGCTGCCAATTGGCATGGCAGCTTGATGATTTTGTCTCGGCAGAGACGCTACCATTAAATTGTAAAGTTTCATGCAAGGGGAAAAAAAAAGGTGGTCCAACATGGAGGGTGAAGTGTTTGATAAGTTTGAAATATACGAGACTTAATTTAGAAATCATAGATGCATACTCTCTGGTGAACTGACTGTGCCCTTGAATAAAATAATATGAAGACAAGACTGGAGTATCTGGTAAATAGATCTTGTTGGTACTCCATCAGAAAATGGCCAGCTTTAATGAACAATAAAATATGAGAAATAATTAAGATAGAGGCGATCTCATGCGAAATTCATCAGATGAAAATCAGATTATGAATGTTAAGAACATTTAACTGAAGAAAAGTCTGCTTGACAGAATCAAGTACCCTGTTAGAAATCTTTCACAAAAGTTGCAAGAGGATGAGAAAATAAAAAAGGGGCTCTTGTATATGCCTTGGGAAAATATTTGTTGTCAAGGGAGATATCAAATACAATCAATCGATCAGATTCTAAGTGTCTCAGAGTAACAGTAGTCACAGTTTTTATGTATTCATCAGGCAGAAGTTGGTAGTATTAATTCTGACGGAAATTTACTAGCCTTCAATTGGTATTCTCCCCTCTGCATGTGATTTCAATTGATGTTTTTTGAACTTCATCCCATTTCTCACTGGATCGATGGACAGCATGCTACTGTTGCAAGTTTTATCAGAGTTATGCAAGGTTGAAGTCACATCACATCAACTATAGGCTATGGAGATCAAAAGCACACCCTGATAGGGTGCCTCAAAATTTCAAATTATATACAAAGTATATTCTGAAAACATTTTCTATCACAATATTTCTTTCTTGACCAACGTCCCCTCAATCTTCTCCATTGTTAGATCCTTGTTTCTAAACTAAACCTCATCAGGCTGTGTTAATTTTGAAACAGTTTTTAAGTAATAAAAAAACAAAGGCAAGACCTCAGAAGATCGATCCAATAGTCAAGAAAATAAGATCCCCTTCTAGAAGACCCTTCTAGATCTTATAGAAAACTTATCTCGTAAATGCAACAAAAGGATATGAAGATATGTCCCCACACAGCCTGGAAAAGAAACTCAATCTCTATAGACATTCAATTAACTGGCTCTGAGGATACCCTCACTCTAGGTTTCGATAGTCTTCACAAGGAGAGGAAAATCAGACCATGCAATTTTTTTTTTTCTTTGATAAATATGTATTACACATTAAATATAAATACTGCAAGACAAAGCCTGAATAACATGAACCATAGGCAGACCGAGGCGGGTAGAGATCAAGGAGATATCGATAACCTCGCATTTATTAGAAAGAGCTGAAATTTTATTCTTAAAGTAAACATCTGAAGCATGATATCAACTCTGATGTGAGGACTGATGTGCTTAAGGAGGCCAGTAGAGGTGAAACTCAAACTTGTAGACATAAGCGAAGTCATTTGTGTTTTCTATTATTGTAGCTGACACATAGCCTTTACTTAGTACTTACCCCCCCCCCCAACAATGACGATTGACACCTTGTGCTGCTTCAGTTGTAAACTAAACTTATAAACAGCAAGGTTTCATAATCCATCAAAAGTAGATGCTACAGTATTTCCTTCTACAGTGCCTGCAACTTTAGAAAATGGGTTGGATGTAACAGTCAATGGTTCTTGAAAAACATACTAGGTGCCAAGAGCTGCTGTGGTGAGTAAGATTTTCTCCTGCCACACCATTCACTATGACATACCCAGTTTTGTTCCAGGCAACATGTTCATAGAGTACAAAGAGAAGGGATTTGAGTTCATTGTAGTTGTGGGGGGAAGGTGGAGGTAGCCTTGAATGAAAGAGAAAATAATAAAATAGAAAGAAGATAGAAGTGGGGAGATTGAGCCATGTCATCGTAAAAGATCAGGGTCATTTATAGGATTCGTTTGACAGAAACACGTTTAACTCGAGGAAATACTCATGGCCTCTTTTATTTGTTCTACTCATTACATGACCAGAAACTGGAGATCTGATATATAGATCTTGGTTGTACCATAAAAAAATAAAGTATAACTTTTTATTCCTGCCGTATCACTTAGCCAACCTACAAAAATAATGAGCAAACTATACATGTCCGTAAATCCATCCTATGCTTTTATCATTCTACTTTTGTCAAAGCTTAGCCTCAAAACCTGACAAGAGATGATTTTTGCTTTGTTCCAATGTTTTCAGACCATGCAAGTTTTGAAGGGAGGTGGAGGTACCTTTGGATGAGAGAGCAAAGAGTAACTTAACAAGATAGAGGATTGGAGATTAAACTTTGGATGACAAGAGTATTTTTCCAGAAGCATGTAAAAGGAGAAGGGATCGTCTATAGGACTCCAATTCGTATGCCTAGCTAGTACAGGGAGTTATTCTACAAAGAGGGTGAAGTGTTTTATTTGTTAAAAACAGGGGGAGATGCATGCCAAACACATGCAACTATAATCAGTGGCAAATTAGTCATCTCATTTTCACAGTCTAAATCACCATGAAGTCCTGAGCATCTGAGTGGGGAACTAAATACGTTCTTCACAAAAATAATATGAAAACAAGAATGAGTTATCTGATATATAGATCTTGCTGGTGCCACATAAAAAAATGACTTTGCTTTAATGAACAATAAAATATAAGAAATGAGATAAAGAAGATTTTATGCAAAGATTCATCAGATGAACATCATAATAATCAATGCCCAGATTATCCCAGATAAGAAAAGTCTGCTTCAATTAATCAAGTAACCTGAAGGAAAAAAATCATGCTCTTCCATATGCCTGAAAAAATCTTTGTTGTCAAAGGAGACACAAGTGCAATAGATCAGATCCAAAGTACCTGAGTCTGCTACAGTTTTATATATTCATCAAGCAAAGTTGGTGTCAGCTCTTGGACAGAAAAGATATTTATTTCAAATTGATATTCTTCCCCTTCACCCTGCATGTTCAAATGTTAGTGCTTCATTGTTTCTGTCCATAGCAATGACACAATATCATCAGTAAACCCCTGGCTAAGAGATCAGATAGCTAATATCCAAGATTTTCCAACATGTAAATTGAAAGTTGTAGTCTGCAAAATGTTCAATATGGTTCCAAAATTTAACTGGTCCAAAACTGGACCCCATGCCAAAACATCAGTATAAATTGAAGGTGCCCAGGCATGGCAATTAATCTCTTGATGTTACAACAAAATGGTAAGGCATCTGACTTTTGAGCTTCCCGGTTTCCACAGAATTCAATAGCAGATGCACGACCACCCAATATGTGTGAGATGTGAGACTCTTCCTTAGTATCAAAATTTTGTTACAACTGCTTCTTTTTCTTCTCAAAATAAGAATGGCTGCGCTGGAAGTCCAATACTGCCCACACCAAGTGCCACAACCTCATATCTGGCCATAATGCATTTGGAGAATACAACAGGCAGTTACTAGTCTGCCAAAGTAGGAAGTTGCTGAGGCGGGTCTCCCCAGAACTTCGTATCACTACATCAGGATCAGGAGCTACTGACATGTACATGTGTCTCTCAATGTCTACCACCTTTAGTATCGAAGGATCCACCAGCAACTTCTTGCTCTCTTCATTTGAAATCACACCATTGCCACTTCTGCTTGCCTCCAATGATTGAACTTCATCCCATTTATCACAGGATCCATGGACAGCATGCCCAGCCACACCATTTATTTTCCCAGTCCTTTCTACTCCTTCAGCCACACCACTACGGGCTGTACTTGCCCTCGTTGCTTGTAATTCATTTGTTTCAACTCTGCACAATTCTTGAACACTTTGCAAAACACCATCATCAATCTTTTTGCCATCTACTACTTCAATCCCACCATTGCACACTTTATGAGAGTTACAAGGTTGAATCTCCTCCCACTTATTTTTACAGGATTCATGGATAGCATGCACGATCTCATCACATGATGTATAGGCTATGCAGATTAAAAGCATACACTTGGTGTTGTTAGCAGTAGCCTTCATAACCTTCTCTGCTGCCACCCAGACAGGCTCACTCAAAAGTTTCAAATTACCAATAAAGTATACTCTGATACCATATTCATTCACAATGCTTTCTTCGTTGAGCAACCCTTCAATCTTTTCCAGAATCAGATCCATCAGGTTCTGAACCTCATCAGGCCGCCTTTTGAAATTCTCAATGCTGAAGGCATAAATAGTAACATAAGTTACTCCCAACTCATAGCAGTATTTAAGCATGGACATGAGAACTGAAAATCCTGCTCTGTGACCAGCACCTTCTTCCAATTGTTGCTTTTTGGCATATCTTCTATTTCCGTCCATTATGAATGCAAAATGGTTGGGAATAGGACCGATGGATAGAATGCGAAACATGCATCTTCTCAATAAACTACCCAAACTGCCAAATAGCTCACTTACTCTAGTACCACTATTTTTTTCCATTTTAATTAATACATGAATTGCAAGTGTCAAACTGTTCAAAAGAAACAGGAAATTAGTTGGCATTGGTGGAGTTGACTCCTGCAGAATCAGTAGAGAATGAATGCTATACACACACACACACACACATACACACATAGAGGTTGCTCAAATAAACATAAATAAACAGAGATGAGATTTAGTATGCAGAGTCATATGTTTCATTCTCCACAACTCAATAACAAGGATTCCAAGTTCCAACCCTTATTATGATGGATGCCTTTGATGAGCCATAACTAGATAAATCACACCCATGTAGTTGTTCTCTATGTGAAAGTCAGTGCTTCAAAGCAACAAAATTAATGCACAGACTAGTCCACAAAGCCAATGATTCAAAGTCAGAGGATTAGATATTGCCTTAGTAGAGTGTGGATTCATCCTTTTGGCAATTTTAATATAAAAGTGTACAAGAAATACAAACAATTCATGCAACAACCAAGAACACCAGGTTTACTCCAATGCTAAATATGTCATCATTCGTAACTCTAGAAGGATAATTAGTCAAGAAAAAGAAACAGAGAACGCAATAAGTCAGATCCAGCAAACCAACAAACTTCAGCATTTTACTAATGAGAACATCCAAAGAAACACAATCCTTATCCCTGAGTCTATACCTATATCACTAGGAAGTAAAAACCCAATTCCCCAAACTATAACAGCAAAAGTATTTCCTAGTTCAAGCTTTTATTTTATACCCTTACTCGGACTATCTAAAACAAAACCCCCTGTCTTAACACTTCATTTAATAAAAGAAGATCGACCTCAACTAATCCTTCACCCAAAACACGGTAGAATCTTAATTAAATGAAAAGAAACCCATCCTTCACCCCAAAAAAGTTAGAATCTTTAATTAAATTTAAATACATGATTTATCATGTAAAGGTACAAACTTCAGATCAAAATCTCAACCTTTAACATTATTACTGGAAACCCACTTAGAAATAAGTCAATTAAGACCAACAAAACTACCTAAACAACAGCCATGCAAAGATGAACCCAACAAATTAGACAACTTTAAATCACAAAAAAAGAGAGTCCTTACCTTTGATCGGTGCAGATTAATAATACAACCGGAGAAAATCAATCATGAATGTCCACGAACTGAACTTGGAACCTGGTAGTTCAATCAAAGTAATATTAAAAACCCTAAAAACAAAGAGTAAAAGACATGGAAAAAAATAATATTTTTTTAGTTTTTTGTGTGTGCTTACAAGGTGAAAGAGACAGGGGAAAAAACAAAACACCTGGTAGGCAGACAGTAACAGAGAAAACAGAAGCATTCGAATTTTACTAAATAATGAAGTCGTAAGGAGACAAAAAAAATTTTAAGACCAAAGTCTTGACGATCTGGGGATTTTTTCGCTCTTGTGGTGGTGTGGAGGCGGGAAATTTTTTATGGGCTTTCGATGTAAAATAGAGAATATAAATAGCTGATGGCCCAACTTAAACTCACCACCTGAGGAGGAGGAGTTCGTTCTAGCCCCAACTATTGTTTTTATTTTTTCTTTTTTTTTTCATAAAATAAAAGTAGAAAGAGACTAATCACACGTCCGCATTGATCAAAGAATGACAAATCACGAATTTTGTATAACGAGAAAAATCACGAAGGAGAAATAAATAGAAAAGAGTTATAAAATTACACCATCGTTATTATTTCTTACTCGTTATTCCTGTTTAATTACTTTATTATAAATACAGCAAAAAGTTTAATCAAATTAAGTATATTTTCCTGAGTCTATCCATTCAGAATCATGACATAGATTTATAAGAATGAATTTATCATCACCACTTATCGTCATTTAATATAGCTTTATTTATTTTTTGTTTGTCTGCATATTTGTTAAAAAACATTTAGGTTTTTTTAAAAATAATAATAAAATAAAAAAAGAAGGTATTAAAAAGTTTGAGATCAATTCTTTCTTTTCTTAAATGGCATTTTGCTGAATGGCAGTTTAATAAGTATTGGACTGTATGTACTATGAGAATATCATAAGTATTTAAAAAAAAAAAAAATCTTAACATTTACCTTCTATCACATACGTCCGATAAATGTTTTCGAAACTTATTGTTTTTTAATAGAACATATAGAATAGTCTATTTATCTTTTCATTTTTACAATCAAAGACTTTTACCAGGAGAATAACCTTCTTCTCAGTTTCCAATCCTCATCCTTTTGCAAGAAAATATTCTTATATTATTTTTGGAATAATAATAGAAAATTAGAATGAAATTTAAAAATTTTAATATCTATTTTTAAAATAAATAAATATAATGATTAAAAATTAATATTATCAATTATAATGATAGTAAAAATGATTGTGATGACAGTGAGGTATGATACGATAGTGATGATGGCAACAATGATGGTTGTATAATAAAAGTAGTAATGATGGTTGTAAAAAAGAAATATTAGTAGAATAATAATAACAACTTTTTTTTCAAAAATTTGGTTTTACCACCACTAATAATAGTGGTTGTAGTAGAGATGATGGTGGTTGTGGAGATGGAAGTAGTGATGATAGAATAAATAATTGATACACAATAAATAAAAATAATATATTATTATTTAAAACATTAAATTTATTCTCATTATTTATTTTTATTCTCATCTTTATTCATGCAAATGAACCTATACTTAATTTATATTTTTTTCACTGTCTATTTTAATTCATATTTCATTTTTTTCGATCAAACATGTATGAAGTGACAATAAAACTTTAATTTTTGATTTTTGCGATTTCATTACTTGTTATCAAATAATACCTAAAAATCTGACAATTCTTTTTTTAATCCCTCTTTCCTTTTCTTTTCTATTTTTTAGTCTATTTTTATCCATTACGAAACGTCGAAAGTAAATGGACTTGGAGAAAATTTGATCGAGTCAGAGGATTTGCTTTAAGCATCTTGTGCTTCGTTAGGTCATTAATTCAAAGTTGCTTTGACTTCAGCCAATGCCCTTTCCAAGCATGCATCAAAATGTGACCGCTATTATTCTTCCATCATGCTAACCACCCTTACTAGCACTTTCTTAAACAGGACAAGACTCACAAAAGGACAATAAAATTAACATTATTTCTTGATCTAGATGTTTGTAACATAATTATATTTAGACAAAAAAAAATGGCATTCCATAGGTTGTTTGTTGGTGATTAGGACATGCTATAGATAATAGAATAATGCAAAATGGGAATCTTGGAGTAATTAAGCTCTTCCAATTGCAATTATAAAGGAGATGACTTGTTATATCTTCCACAAGGACTGCGTCTGCATGCAGCTGAAAAACCACAACAAAATATTTTTTTCTACTCCATTCACAATTATATTAAAGAATCGTGCTTGTTTTCCAAGTTACAACATTTATCATCTCATTGAATACAAATGACAACTACAAGTCTACAACAACAGAATCTGTTCTACACTAAAAGGAACAGCATAAAAAATGATGGCTTTTCAAACAAAAGTTAAAGAAATTAAAATAATGGAGTAAATGATTTTTTGTGCACATAGAATCTGTTGGGTCCAATTCTGCCTACTTTACCTTTCTCTTTTATTCTTTGCTTTTCGTTTTGCTTTGTTTTTGAATGTTTCCTGCTCATATTTAGGCACCCTGCGACCTGGAATGAAACGGGGAACGAAGCTGGGTTGGTTTTTGGCCACGGCGATGCGTTTTAGAATGCGAGGAACCAATAGAGCTTTTGGTTGCCTTCGGTTTTTTCTTCATTGCCTCTATCTGTTCCAACACCTCCACAACTTCTTGCATGGAGGGCCGGTTTTTAGGATCTCCTTCCAGGCACTTTAAAGTAAGTTGTGCTGCTGGTACCATTGCCTTGGGTGAATATTGGCCCTCAATCCTTGCATCCATAATGGTGGTTTTGAGCTTCTTTTTCTGTGAGAGCAATGGCTTCAACCATTCGATCAAATTTTGCTGATCAGCCCGTCGCTTTGTATCAAGTGCCCTTTGGCCTGACAGCAGTTCGAGTAGTACGACACCAAACCCATACACATCACTCTTTACATATAAATGACCTGCTTATCATGGTGAAACGTCACATTAGATGATTTATTTATATGTCTAGAGTTATGTACACATGTTTACAGTCTAAACTATACTTTTAAGAGCCTATTTGAGTAGCATTTCAGAAATCCTGGAAGGCAGATATACCTGTTGCAATGTACTCAGGAGCAGCATAACCATATGTTCCCATGACCCTGGTTGTCACATGTGACTCTCCACCGGAAGGCCCCAATTTCGCCAAGCCAAAATCTGATATTTTGGCATTGTAGTTCTGCAAAAGACAGTTGAGATGAAAAGGATTGATTATCAGTAATGACAAATTATGGTTCATGAATCCTGCATCTTTGAAAAATGAACTGTTTTTCTGTTTAGTGTTCCAAGAAACCGGGGATGTAGGCAGGGCCTTGGCCCCCAAGCTCCATCAGGTTCAGGTCTCCTATGATGTTATTGTACCTTGAATACATGTCTATTTTTAAGTTTTGAATCAGATGACCCCCCAAAAACTATTAATGCCTTCTTGCAACATATGCTGCATTTGCATTTCTCCATTGATAAATGATATGATTGTTCCCATATAACTTCTAGACATGCATATTCAGAAAGTCTAGTTGTCTTTCTTAGAGAAACCTCTCAAACTTTTACTAATGATTATTACTGATGCATCAAAATTCGAGCAATGGAGTAGAGGGATAGTTTTGGATCTCCAGCTCTCCCGCATGTAAACAATGCATTTTAACAAAGTGTTCTTGGTATAACTTGGTCAGCACATACTCTGAACAATTTTGTATCATTTTCAAAGTTTCTAGTCAATCAAATGTGGTAAAAAGCTTCATTTACTAGATGTGGAAAATTATCAATGATAGGAAAAGAAAGGAGACGATGAGAAGCTTAAGTTCACAAAGTGACATCGCAAAACAATCAATTTGCTATTGGCTTGTGCTCCATTTGTTAGCAGTGCAGTATTAATCGAAAGAAAGTTAGAATCACAAAGGGCAATTCCTATCCACCATCA